GAGTCCCTTCGCCGTTCACCTGAAACTGTCCCAACTTTGTTAGTTGGTTATACTCTCAGTTCAGTTCAGTCACTCAGTCGTGTCTGACTCTTTGCGACCGCATGAACCGCAGCACACCAGGCCTCCCTGTCCATCACTAACTCCTGGAGTTTACCGGAACTCATGTCCATTGAGTCAGTGATACCATCTAACCATCTCATCCTCTGTCGTCCCCTTCTCCTCCTGCCCCCAATCCCTCCCAACATCAGAGTCTTTTCAAATGAGTCAGCTCTTCACATCAGGTGGCCAAAATATTGGAGTTTCAGCTTCAGCATCAGTCCTTCCAATGAACACCCAGGACTGATTTCCTTTAGGATGGACTGGTTGGATCTCCTTGCAGTCCAAGTGACTCTCATATAAAATAAAAAGGCTTTTCAAAAAATTCCATCACTATAAATACACTCATCCCTCCAGTATCCACTGGGGTTGGTTCCAGGACTCCCATCCCCACAGACACTGCAGTCCACAGATGTTCGTCCCTTATATCAGTTCAGTTCAGTTGCTCGGTCGTGTCCGACTCTTGCAACCCCATGGCCTGCAGCATGCCAAGCTTCCCTGCCAATCAGGTTTCCTTGTCAAGGGAGAATCCATGGATACAGAAGCCATGACAGAGTGCTGACTTATATTTAGATTCCTCAGTTTAGAACTCACAGACAAGGAAAGTAACAAACAGAGGTGTGTTTATCAAGGTCCTTTTGGGCCATTTGGCAGACCATCACAAAGGAGGTCAGATTCAAGTAGTGTGCCTCATAAGCCTGTACAATCTGAGGGCTCCCTTTAGAAAAAGAATCGCAAACTTGTGAATCCAGAATTGAATACAGATGTATCACAGAATAAAAATTTTAAAAAAAATCACAACAAATAAACTAAAAACTGACACATACTGTGAGCATCCAGAAAGAAATTACCATGGTGTTAACTTCCTGACATACTCCTATGAGCCTTTTTTCCTATGTTTTAGACTTCATGCTTTTTGAATACTTTTTCATAGGAAAATTATTTTATCATTTCTATAGAGAGAATAGAAAGAGTTTGGTATCTCTGTAAGCAGGGTTTGCAAATTTTATTTTATTGATAATTTAGGAAAACTTTCAGTTTCACAGCTCATTATTGGTAACTTCATATGAATTTTGGGGATTATAATCAATATTGGAAAGGCTTTTACCAAATTTATATAACATGAGCCCTAAGGTTTAAAGGCATTTTCTACTAGTTGCATCTAGTTTATATGGCTGCATATCAAGCTATGTCCTCCTCCACCACCCACGTATTTCTGAGACTGGATCCTGTACAAATATTCAACAGCTTGACCACACCTCTCGTTTTGCACCTGCACAAGTCACAGTGAGCAGTTGGAAGTTTTCCAGAAGTCATTGCAACACCAAGACAGCTAGCAGTAAGTCAGCTATATGTGGGAGTATGAGATATAGCCCCCAAACCCAAACTAAGTAAGGAAGGAATTGTTAGTCACCCAGTTGCATCCGACTCTTTGTGACCCCATCTATTGTAGTCCACCAGGCTTCTCTGTCCATGGAATTCTCCAGGCAAGAATGCTGGAGTGGGTAGCCACTGCTTCTCAAGGGGACCTTCCCGACCCAGGATCGAACCGGAGTCACCTGCATTGCAGACAGATTCTTTACCATCTGAGCCAAGAGGGAAGCACCAACCCAAACATATTCTCAACTCAAGTTCCCACAGCCGAAATCCAGAAACGCCTGCAGTCCTCCAATGCTGGGTTATGCCAGGGCAAATGTGATAGAGAAGAAGTCAAAATGAGAAGCAAAAGTGATCTGAGTCAACTGGAGTTAAAATATCTTATTCTGAGTACATTTGTGAGAGGTTCCTGCAAGTGAGGACCTGAGGCTTAGTTTCATTTGCTTCACTCTGACAGAAAATGACTACTCTCTCATTTTCTCATACCAGACAACATTTGTACCCATCTTCAATCCAGTTGCTTACTTTATGCAAAGCATTGTGCTTTATAAACATTAGCTCATTTAATCCTCACAGTGACTCTATGGGGTAGTTGATATTGCAGAGCTGAGGCAACTTTGAAAGGTAAATCCACATATTCAAGACTGCAAAACTCATGCAATTGTTTCCAAAGCTGGTGCACACACATTTGGTCTCCTGCCTCCTTGACAGAACAGCATGAATATAGAGTGGAAAAAGAACAAGAGGAGGACTTAGCATGTTTACTTTGGCACAAAAAGAACATGCATAAATTTCAAAGTTATATTAAGAATTTAAAACACATCAATAGTTTTTGCAGTAAGTTGGATCCTAGGTGAAAAAGTTTATTCAGATATTAGTACTGCCTTTGGGTTACCTGGGTGAGCAATTCACCAACAGTTTAATTCAGTTTTTTAAGATATGCCAAATACTACTTTTTAATAAACTTTAAAATACATTGTTTCCATTTCTAAATCCAGATTCAATGGACATAAACAAGTTCTCTCTCTGTTCCTCTTCCCCTCTCTCTCTTTATTTCTTACATTTCTCCCTTGACTCTCCAACTCCAGGAAGGAAAGATAGAAGTATTGCTTTGGCTTCAGGGGATTCCTAATCCTTCTCACTCTCTGGTTTTGCATGAGGGATTTAGCTTCAACCCTAGAGGACTGGCAGGTCATGCTCTATTTAATACTCTAGTGTAAAGGACAAAAGTGAAGGGGTTTGAAAGTGAGTACATACATAGTCTTTCTAATTGTAGTTATGCCTTTGCAATTAGTTTATTACTTTATTTCACCAACAATGAACTATTAAAAGACATTATCTTCACCCTAATGCAAACAAAATCAGTATTAGCTGAAGATGCTTATAGAAGTCACCTGAAAGAATTTCTTAAAAAATAAATTTAACACCAGTTAGTGGTTATTTCTACGGTATAACCTCACAATGGCCAGTTTTGGTTGTCACTATAAGAAATACTTAGATGTCTTTGAAATACGACTTTAAAATGAAATACACTAAAGTGGGTATCAGGGCTTCCCAGGTGGCTCAGTGGTAAAGAATCTGCCTACCAATGCAGGAGACACAGGAGATAAGACTTGGATCCCTGGGTTAGGAAGATCCCATGGAAAAACAAATGGCAACCCATCCCAGTATTTTTGCCTGAAAAATCCCATGGACAGAGGAGCCTGGAGGGCCACAGTCCATGGAGTAACAAAGAGTTGGATGCAATTTATCAACTGAGCATGCAGAAAGTGGGTATCATTGTGAAGGTAAAATAAAAATGCACATTTACAAGATGGTTGAAATTATTGTCCTAGTATTATGCAAATGAAATTCATGGCTCAGGATAAAATTTTCAGAGTTATTAATATACCTGAAACAACATAGATTGAAGTGAAAACTGCGTCCTCTCAAAAATGTAAAGAAAAGTCGAAGTGTTTCTAAGAATGACAGAAATACTTAACAGAGGTTCAAGTGAAGAACTTAGTTTATGAATTTTGGATTTTCTACATTGACGAGTTTTCAAGTGCTTGTAAGATAATGAAAAGCAGGAAAAAAGAAAATCTTTGACCATTTTTATCTTCATCCTTTAAATGTTTATATGTTCAAGTCTGGACAAAGAGACTTGCTGAGATTCAGTCATCTTGAACGTGCACATAATGTAAACTTGCCACTTGAACTTAAAGGCAAAACAAGTATCTTATACACAGCTTAATTATGTTATTGAATTCTATTTTAACACTTTTGTCATTCTTACATCATGTTTCTGAATTTAAATTCCCAGGAGAGAATCATGCTATAATCTAAATGCAATAAATGCAGCTAGCTATTGAAGATTAAAAATACTACTTTAAAAGAATATGAATATGTGGCTTGTGCTCAAATAATACAGTTAGAATACGTGACTGAGTCTTTGGCTAAGGTAAGTTCTCACTGTGTGCTAGTTATATAGTCATGTACCTGCTCTTAGAGCATCTTTGAATTTCTTAAGAATGAGATGTTAATAATTTAAGGGAGAAATGTTAGTCAAACTAGTTAAGAAATTCAAACCTATTTTACCAGTAATGCTATGACTCTGCACATATTAATTCTCTACACCTGTTTCTACATCTATAAAATGGGAATGATAATACTACTACCTCATAAGGCTTTTATCCAAGTTAATACTAACATACTTGAAAGCAGTTAAGAAAAACCATACACATGTCAGGGGCTCAATAACTGTGATTCTTCTACTTTAGCCTTTTCCCTCCTAGTGACAATATTCACAGCCTTATTTTTCCCCATAAAGGCTTTTTTGTAATACAAAAAGCAAATACAATAAAATACCATAGAAGCCTAATCGAGCAGAAAATTGAAATGTAGAGATGAAAACAAATTTATTTTAAGCAGAACACCACATGTCATAGATTAGGCTAATGAAGAGTTTAGCTCCTTCACCGTGGATGTGTGGGTGCCAACTCACACATCCAAGAAGCCAAGTCTCTAGTGTGACAGGTTTCTTCCGTCCCTCCCACCACTGTGTACAATGCTCACTGACTTGAAACTTAACTGAGTGAGCAGTCATGCAAGCAAAAGAAAATACCTCTCCATCCAGATGAGGTCAAACTCCAACCCCAGGAAAACATATAGGCAACATCTTGCTTTAAAGCAGGAATACCCAGCCTTGAGATCTAATGTCTGGTGATCTAGGTGGAGCTGATGAAATAATGAAAGAAATAAAGCACACAATCAATGTAATGCGCTTGAATCTTCCCAAAACCATCCCCCGCCCATCCCCTGGTCTATGGAAAATATTGTCTTCCATGAAACCAATTTCTGGTGCCCAAAAGGTTGGGTACTGCTGCTTTAAAGGACTTGGAACAGCAAATTGAAGATGCAGCAGCATATAAAACTGTAAGTAAAAGCCACTTCCACTGACAGTTCCATAAAACACTGCAAGGCCACAGTTGATGAGTGAGACATACAGACCCTGCTTCAGAAAAAGCATGCGTGACATGTGTTAATGTTTATAAAAAACTCCCCACACTTTTAGTTTGCAAGGGCTTGCTTTTAGTCCAAATAATATTCTCCAGAATTTCCTGGGCCTCTTGGATCCCCTGTCTTGCAGCAACATGAAGGAGCATCTCTATGTCCCTAGGAGAGAGAGTTACTTAGTAGAATCACAAAGAAACAGTGAATTCAAAGAACCTGCATGTCCAAGTGCTTAGGCTAAGGGCCAGGTTAACACCTGTTTAGACTCATTCTAAGGTACTGAGTGAAACACTTGCCATTTCATCTGGGTTTCATCTTGAGTGTCTTCATAATAAAATCAAAAACTACCCAAAGAAACAGTCTTACAACATCAGAGTCCAGCTGGATACTTTTGCCCTATTTAGAAAAATTTTTCCAGCCAAGACTCTTAGGTAATGTCTGAGACACCCCTTTCTTGCAAGAAAATTCTATATTTTGGTTTAGAGTGGAAACTGGAGAGGGGCTCCATTCAACCTGCTCATCAGTCAGTTGTAAAACTGCCCACCAGCAGTTGTGAAAGAGAACGCAGACTACCCCGTATGATTTGGCTGCCTCCCATTGGTCATTTCAAGATTTCATCACCACGTAATGCGTGAAACCGCTAGCCCTGAGTGTTAAACCAAGTCCCTAGACTCACCCCATCCTTCAGGCTCTCACTGAGACTCCCTCTTTCTGAACCTCGTTTACTCATCAGCCTGAGCTGGATTAAGGTCTACAGTTGTGGGGTGGGGATTACACACAGAACATGGTAATGGAATACATGTCAGTTGCATTTCTTAAAACAAGCTGAAAATTGAACAGTTTATTTGGGGGAGGCCTATGAAGATGTTCCTGGCTCAGAATCTCTGCATGAAAATATCACAGATTATGAACTACTCAAAAACTTTAAGAAAAACTTCTCTAGAGAAAATAGTAGCATTTCTCTTGGGACTGTGAGTAATCAAAAGGGGATTCATCCCATAAACACAAACAGAATTTGTGTCCCAAAAGAGCTTTCTACCTTATACTCTTCTATGTTCTTTTCTGTTTATGAGAAAATGCTATACAGCTTAAGATGGGACTCCTAGGAACCTTAAAAATTCACAGGAGACTCTTAGGATCATGAAATAACCTGGCCTTTCATTTTGTACTCATCAGGTACCTTACAAATTTATTACATGGGCTCTATGAATGTATATGAATCTTAGATTCTTTGTGACTTTTATCATAACTCATAGCACTGTAAGTAGATAAAAAGGCAAGAGTGGGAAGTGCACTATATATAAAACGCTTTCATCTGTCAATTGCAGGTAATGTATGGAGGCACGTTTAGAAGGAATGACATCTCAGCTGGAAGGAAAAAGACTGCTAATTTCCATTACCCTACTGCCATGGATCCAGTCATGTTTTTCAGTTTTCCGACTGCAAGGTTAAAGGAACCATGAGGATGGTCCTGCTGGGAGGCTTGTCTGAAAAAGAGAGGAAAAGAAAATGGAAGTGGAAATCGGGTTGGAGAGGAATATGCAATAAAAAACAAGGAAACAATGCTGTGAAAATGGATTCCCTTAATACAACCAAAGGCACTGCTAATACAAATATGTAAGCATTACTGGAAATCATGGGGCTTCCCAGGTGGCACTAGTGGTAAAGAACCTGCCTCCCAATGCAGGTGACAGAAGAGAGGCAGGTTTGATCCCTGGGTCAGGAAGATTGCCTGGAGGAAGACATGGCAACCCACTCCAATAGTATTGCCTGGAGAATCCCATAGACAAAGGAGCCTGGAGGACTATAGTCCATAGGGCCGCAGAGTCGGGCATGACTGAAGGACACTCTGAAAAATCATTACTTCTGTCTTTTACATTGGGACAAATGTTAATAATCCTCTTTCATTAAAAAAAAAAAAACACTCTTATTTGAAACAAAGCACTGAAAAAAAAAACTGATGTTGTAAGAATATTTAATCATTTATTTGTTCCAAACTCATTCATCAGCTTCTCCAAACATTAAAATCATTACAATCTTCTCTCCAAAATATATAGGAAATCAAAATATAAGAAAGAACCATCTGGGAATATTAGGAATTCAGTAGCATGTAACCTGATTCTCAAGCACTATTTCCAGTTACTGAAATATGTAATATGCCAACACTTTCCATCAGAAATTTCTACAAAGATGAAAATGTTTGGCATCTGTGCTTTCCACTATAGTAACCATTAGCTGTGTGTGAGTATTGAATACTTGAAGTGTAGATAGTGCAACTGAGAAACCGAATTTTTTTACTTTATTTAAATTTAAATGACCACATGTGGTTAATGGCCATCATATTGGACAGTACAATTTATATAATTATTGCTTTGCTACTTTGCAGTTCGTTTCATTTATTTATGATTACGGGGAGAAGTCCAAAATACAAGGAAATGTACAAAAGTTTTCTATCTCTAATGCATAAACATTTTGAAAAGTAAGCAGGAAAATAACAACATCCAGTGGGAAAGTGGGAAGACTGCATGAATCGACTTTTCACAGGAAAAAAAAGTATTAAAATTACAACATGCTGTGTGTGCTTAGTCACTCAGTCATGTCCAACTCTTTGTGACCCCATGGTCTGTAGCTCACCAGGCTTCTCTCTCCATGGAATTCTCCAGGCAAGAATACTGGAGTGGGTTGACATTCCCTTCTCCAGGGGATCTTTCCAATCCAGAGATTGAACCTAGGTCTTCTGCATTGTGAGTGGATTCTTTACCATCTGAGCCACCAGACATTTAGATAAGAAAGCTTCACAATTGACCAAAAGAAAAAGTAAACAAGGTACTTATTTAATAAATAAATTTAATGACTCATGAACCATAAAAGATATTTTTAAAATATGCTGGGAGAAATCTTGCCTTTGTAATGCTTTTCCCATCCCATTCCTGATAGTGGACTCCATCACTGAAAAATGGAAAGGTTTTTGAAATTAGCTTTTAACTGTATGTCCCATGTAAGGAAGATCTGGTTTACAAAATATTATTTAGGGCAACACTTCTAAAATTTTAATCCACAAACTAGCCACCCCAGAATCTTGTTAAAATGAAGATTATGAATCTTCATTCTTACAACAAATGAACCTTGTTACAATGTTTCAGTAGGGCTGGCTTAAGGCCTCAAAGGCTGCATTTCTAACAAGTACCAGGCTGGTGATAGCAGTGCTGCTCGTGTGTGGCCTAGGTCTCAGTAGCAAGGGTTCCAGCCAAGCAGAGTTAAACACCAACCATGCTGAGCCATTCCAGACCCATGTCATTCCCTTCCTGATTCTCAAAGGTACTTCTGTTGGCAGGTGAAGTTGATCAGAATATCCACTTTAAACTTTGTGTTGAAATGTGTTACTGAAATGGCTTCCTCTGCTGGTTCGTTTTTACTTTATAAATCAGTGTGGACTTCTAGAGCAGTGGTTTGACCTCCCTACACATTACAGCTACCCAGGATGCTTTTCAGCACAACTCAGTCAATCTGGAGTTGGGCATTAGTATGTTTCAAAAGCTCCCCAGGGGACGCTAATATGTAGCCAGGCTTGTCACCCACTATTCTAGCAAGAAGACAAAAAGCATCTGAGAAGGATGATCTCATCAATATGAGGGCAATGGCAAAGCCATGACTATACTCCCTGCTCACTCAGATAACCGAACACGTCTCTGCATCATAGGAGACTCTGATCATCAGCATTACCCTATAGAAATAAAATGCATGCCATGGTAATTTTAAATGTCCTGATAGCCACATCAAAAGTTTTAAAAGGAATAAGTAAAATTAAATAATATATTTTATTTAATCCTATATACCCAACATATTATCATTCAATGAATAATCAATACAAAGAATTGTTAGTGAGATATTTTATATTCCTTTCTTCATATGAAATCTTGGAAACCCTGTGTGTACCTTACATGTATAGCACATCTCCGCTCACACTAACCACACTTCAAGGGCTCAGTGGCCTATGTGGCTAGTCACTGTCATGTTGGACAATATCACTTTAAAGAATACTATGGCAAAATTCCACTTTCAGGGGTTTCTACTTTTGAATACATTGAGACTTCATGAACCCTAAGCCAGTTGTCTATATCAAGTGACTTTGACCTTAGTCCTAACTTGTCCTTGTTCTCTACCACAGTCTCATGTAGAATGGAGTTTCTAACATCTCAGAGCCTATTTATTCCCGTTGTCTAACCTTTTGAGTGTCAGGTAAAGCATTCAAGTCTTTGTTTCCAAAGTTAGTATTACTGTCTCAAACTGCAAATATAATATATATTTTTCTGTGAGGACTCAGCACACCAGTGCTATACAATCAGAATTATAAAAGCTACCCGTGGAAAAATTTGTATATTGAGTGGAATTTAGGCCCAAAATAGAATAAAAAATAGATAAATGTATTTCTACTTTTAAATTCAAATGAATGTGTCTAATTGTCAAGAGTTCAAAACTTTAGCAAACAAGGTAATGCTAATACAGTGCTGTTAATAAAATTATTGATGTTCTGGATCTTGATCTAGAATGGTATACATTCTCCAGTTTAGCTCTTTTAAAGCTAATCTGTTGTTTGCTTACATTGTGTAGACTGTTTTTAAATGCATCAGACACATCACTTCTGTCACTACTCCTACCTCACCGCTGAGTGGAAAAAGAAGTTACCAACACTTTAAAAAAGTGTACCTTATTTTTGTTCTAGGGAAGAAGCACCAAAATCATAAGGTTTTATATCTAAGCACTTCCTGAAATGACAGCTCTAGAGTTTTGCTTTTGGTAGGGGTTGTTTTTCTTACCTAAACCAGTGCATTGCCATCTCTTGATCCTTCACCACACCAGCTCCTGGGTGAAACCAAAAGGTATCACAGAAAAAAGGGACTCAGTCAATTATTAACTAAAATCTTCTATAAACCTAAAGATACATAAATAAATTCTAACCAGCAAACACCTCCCCTTCCTTTTCCCCTAGTAAAATGAGCACAAGATGAGCAAAGGAGTTACCTTTCAGGTATCTCTGGCCAACAATATGCTGGGCACTGGGGTACCCCAAGTGAGCATAAAGATGTGCCACATGGAAATGGAAGCTCTGGGAATACAGCCAGATGTAAAGCAGAGAGACCATGCTTCCTGATATGACTAGGAGCTATAAAAATAAAAAGGAACAGAAGAGAAGTGTGGGGATATACTTACAGTTTAGATGTGGGAGAAATGAGTATATTCTATAAGGAAGGCATTTCAGGATGAGATCCATATGATTTACAGATGAAGGATGTTCCACATAGGTCTCTGTTTATAGGGGAAATTTTTATTATCGCTAGTCTTTTATTTGTAATCATTCTGGGTGATGTATTTTTAATTTTCTGGGTGATGTAATATAACTGGCTTGGGTAACTACTTAGGACTGGATACTGACCAATAGGATCTTAACTGTTTACAAAAGGGGGAAAAAAAATGAAGGCAGAAACAAAAGAGGAAGCAGAAAAGAGAATTAACATGTTTACTGTTTGGGCAGAAATAGGGTGGTGAGGCTAAGGTGGGAGGGACGTTCCTGCCCTGTTCTGCCAGTCCGGAGAACCCACAGCCCTGGTCTCCTTCTCTGACCCTTTTGGCTGCAACAACAGAAATAAAAGACCTTCAGATGGCACTTTCAGCTTCCTCCCTAAAGAGGTCCAGGTGAGCCAGTGGGTCTCCAGAAGATGAGAGGAGATGAGAAAACTCAGCTTGCTAGGGCTGACATAACCAAATACGACAAACTGGGTGGCTTACACAACAGAAATGGATTTTCTCACAATATATAACCAGATGTTCCAGATCAAGGTATCAGCAGGATTGGCTCTTTTTAGGCTTTTCTCCTTGACTTATAAATGACTGTCTTCTCCCTATAACTGCCTCATCTGTCCTCTGTGAACTTCTGTGACCAAATTTCCTCCTCTTATGAGGACACCAGTCATATTGATTAAAGTCCATATTAATGACCTTATTTTAACATAATTACCTCTTAAAGATCCTGTCTCCAGATACAGTCACATTCTTAGGTACGGGGGTAGTGTAGGGGGGAGGTTAGGACTTTAACATATGAAGTTGGTGGAGGACAAAATTCAGCCCATACCAGTAGCCTCGTCTGATGGTGGAAGATGCTTCCTAAAGAGCTGGTGGATTAGCAGGAGACTTGACATCATTTTTTTTTTTTTTTGGTCATTTTTGACCATGCTGCATTGCTTGCAGAATCTCAGTTCTCTGACCAAGGATCAAACCTGGACCATGGCAGTAAAAGCCCAAATCCTATCCACTAGGCCACCAGGGAACTCCCAACATCAATCTTTTCTAGCAACGTGAACATGCCTGTAAGTTCCCTTCAGGAAGCTCTACGAAGTGAGGTTCTTTCCCATGAGAAGCTTGTACTTCAGCTATGGGTTGATGCCCAAACAAGTTTACATCATCCATCAACCGAATCAATGTGGCCATTACTGTTTTCAGAAATAAGACAAACACTTTCTAAGATGTTGATTCATGCAGACATCAGAGGCTAAGAGGGAACTCAGTCCTGTGGGGCAGCCTTGAAATGCAGCAAGACCATGAAGAGCTTCACCAGCAAGGACAGCTCAGGGCCCCATACCCTTCTCTTACCCTCACCTAGCTGGATTATGAGGATGGCCTCAGACTCTGAGAAAAAATACAGTGTGATTGACATCTTCCCTCTCAGATATGATTTTTATTCTAGGAGAAGAAACAAATGTAGCTTCAAACTTAAAAACTCAATTCTCTATAGCTGCCATGGAAGCTAAATATCTATTACTGATTCCAAGATCAAGAGCTTAAAAATCGACTTTTAGTCTTTTAACCAAACAAATCAATCAGGAATTGAAAACTTGGAGAACAAGAGATGGTGTTTTATAGACTTTCATTTAGAATCTTAATAAGCACAAAACAAAGATCATTAAATATATTTAATGGTCATATTGAAGATATACTAGAGAAAAAATAATTAGCATAGTCCAGTATGAACAATATGATGTTATAATTATAAATATTTGTACTTACACAATAAGTTATATATTACTCTAATTTCTATAATGTAACTTCAACTTTGATGACATATCTCTTTCCTCTTTAGGGAGTTGTTGGTTATTCACAATAATGTATTGAAAAGTCTATGTTTCAGTCTTTGTGCGACTGCATTTATAATAGGAGTGGTGTTCCCTACTGTTGAAAGTGGTTTTTTTTTTTTTTTTGCCTCTCTGCATATGTGTGTACATTGGAGGAGATTTTAATTTTTTAATCCTATTAGGGCATCCAAAGTCATCTCTATTGATCCTGCTTCCTGAACGAATGCTCTTTCACATATTTCTATATGTCACAAGGTTTCACAGAAGATGAATGTCTATTTTGAAACTCTTCAAATCCTTTTTGAAATTATGTCATTTATTCAGTATTTATTTTGTATGTGTCAGACACTGTTCTAACCACTGTGAACAAAACAAGCAAAATGCACTGACCAATTGTAGCTTAAATTATAGTTGGGGTAGAAAGTGAGTGAACAGACAATAAATTTTTTATAAAGTAAAATTTATATTGGATGATAATAAGTGCTATAGAGAAAAAACAGAAGGATAATAGGGAATAGTGTGAAGCAAGAGGTACAAATTTCAAAAGGATAGATGAAAACAATGGGCAAAGAAAAGCAGAAAAGTGTGATGGTGGCTCTGTGTAACGGAGTGAACTCCAATGAGCATCACAGAATATCCAGAAAGATTTGAGAGAATTATATCAGCAAAGATACTCATAGGGACGGAGATGGTGCAAAATAAAAAGAGGTCATTGAACCCCTGATTTTCTACTTAGAGGAAGCAAGCTAAGAAAACTCACCTGCAAAACATGCCTCCTGTGATGAAGAAAGGAAGGATGAATCAGAGAGTGAAGCCAAGGGCTCAGATAATGGAGCCAAAAGTCATGGAGAAGGTCTGGAGTCATTCCAGACCTTGGAGTCCAATCAAGGAACTTTCAGTCTTTGTCTGGGGGGACCCCAGAACTGCTCTAGACTGAGAACTCCTTTGTGACTCCCACTTCCCCCCGTTTTTGAACTGAAATGTCTATGGCAGTTTTCCTATGCTGGTCCTAACATTGACTTGTCTCTCTAGTCTCATGGGTCACAGGTAAACAGATATTGCATTCAAGGAGTTGTACTTGAGTTGTATGTGGAGAGCCTCATTCACACCAAGGATTTCTGGAGCCACTAGAAGCTGGGAGAAAAGTATGAAACAGAGCCTCCAGAAATAACCAAACCTGCCAATAACTTGACCTCAGACTTCTGGCCTCCTGAACCGTGAGAGAATAAGTTTCTGTGGTTTTCAGCAGTTTGTGGTGTTTTTGTTACCTAGGAAATAAACACACCCTCCAAAGCAAAGGCTAGTCAGGCTTACTGTCTGGTATAAAAGATTAGGATTCCCCCAAATCAGGGTTCCTGTGATGTAATTCAACCCGCTGTATGTGAATTGTCACCTGGCTCACCCGATTCCACCCTCTGGGCATTTGGTTTTGAAAGCCAATAGGGCTTGCTTTCGGGGCTTCCCAGGTTGCACTAGTGGTAAAAAGCCCACCTGCCAATGCAAGAGACTTAAAAGACACGGCTTCAGTCTCTGGGTCAGGAAGATCCCCTGGAGGAGGGCATGGCAACCCATTCCAGTTTTCGTGCCTGGAGAACCCATGGACAGAGGATCCTGGAGGGCTAAGATCCTATAGGGTCACAAAGAGTCAGACATGACTGAAGCAACTTAGCTTGCACGTATGTGTGCACATCCACATAATACCGTTTATTAATTTCATCTGCCAGCTTCTTCTATTCTAAGTATATCATTCACTTGGACCAAAAAATATATATAGGCTTAGTAAGAACATCTAGGCCATTTTCCATAATCTACATACCCAAATGGCAATACTAATAAAAAAGTAAAAGTCAAATTTGTTACTGTCATCTATAATTTTATGCCATCAGCTCAAAGCAGTAAGTCTATGCCTTCCCCCAAATCTAAAACCCATTTTTATTCTTTTCCAATTTTAAGGAGCTTCCATTTTCTTCCTATAAGCTCATAAATATTACTTACTTATATTTCCCCTTTATTGATTGATGCTTGAATTTTTTCACATATCCTTCTTTTATCTGGGTTTATAGGCAAATGCATTATGTAAATATCAATCTTTTGAGAGAACGCTTTATCTTCTTTCTCTTTGGACCATTTGTTCATTAAAAAGAAATGAGCCAGGGACTATGCTAGATACTAGGTAGTGATCAAAACAAAAACAAGAATGAAAACACATATATCTTATGATATGGGAGATAAATACTAATAACAAAATATGCAAGTAAAATTACAACTGTGGTAAGTACTAGAATGAAACTGTATAATAAGGAAGTTCAACTTTTCATTTCTTTGTATCAAAGAGCAAGGGTTAGTTTGGGGAAGATGCAGCTGGAGGAGACAGTGGGAAAATTAAGAAAAGTTTTGATCAAAGGCTATGTTAGGATTTTGGTCTTATTTTAAGAGCAATAGGTAATCTCTGGAGTGTTCATGTATATGGGAGAGGGGGAGGGGGACATGAGTTAGGGAGGAACATGATCATTTTGAGTTTCAAAACCATCACTCTGATCACAATATAATGCCACAGCTGTCAAAGTGAAGTATGCAAGATGTTCCACTGGGGAGCAAGGAAAATATTTGAACTTCTGTGAACTCAATATATTAAAAAATTGAAGCTCTACTGATATTTAGCCCAGGGGTTCATTTAGTCTGTGTGTCAGATGATCATGTCACTTGGGGGAGTAGAGATAAGCCCAGGATAACAAGACTTTCCACAGTGTTACCTGGGAACCTTCATTCATTCACATGCTTTCGCTCATTGGCTGTGTCTCAGTTTGTGTATGTTTGAGTTCACGGACTAATGATAGTTTACTTACAACGTTGATAAAGTGGACACAATTTCAAAAAGACTCCTGTAAAGGAGCCTGGGTTGAAGTGAATGCTAACATTGCAAGGCTTAATGACCAAGATAATTGCCCTGGGCTTCTGACTTGCAGTGACTCCCATCACTGAGTTAAGAGGACCAGATTAGGATGCCCTGAGTAGGAGAAGGGGCAGAGGTGGCTGA